ATTTTGAAATATATTACTTTCAATTAACTATACACAAAATTGTTTTCTGTCCATCTGCACTTAGGATACTTATCATTCCCTCATGCATTCACAACTTACCTTTTGGTTCACAACTGTCCCCTCTACCACCAACAGAGAACTGGTGTGACTTCTGTGGGGTTACCAGAAATTGGCTGCATTACTTTGAACAGAACAAGTATTTAGAATCTTCATGTAGCATATCTGAAAACTGCTTTTTCATGCCACTGCTTTCCTGTTTACTCTGGGAAACTTGAAACCAGGACCTGCTTGGTTGCTTTCTCTTCTGGATATTAGTTTTTTTTTTCTTTTGGGTGCCGGCCATATTTTATCACTTTTTAAGTTGTACTTCATTTTAGTTTACTGGGTAAAGGCACAACATCATTGCAGAAAGCTAACATGGCCTTTACAGAAGAGAAAATAGAAAATGTATAAGTAAAATGTGCTGATCCAAATAAAACCCAAAGAAACTCTGAGAAAAAAAGATAGCTTAGATGCATGGGATATAAAAGTGCGTGCAAATATTGGTAAACTCCAAATGAGGGCCATCTCTTACATTATACTAATGTTAATGTCACAATTTCAGTAACTGTATTAGTTATTTAAAATGCTGTCCCTGGGGGCTGGGGATTTAGCTCAGCGGCATAAGCGCCTGCCTTGCAAGCGGGCAGTCATGAGTTCGATTCCTGGTACCGATAAAAACGAACAGGACAAAAAAAAAAAATGCTGTCTCTGAGGCTGAACATAGTGACACATGCCTCTAACCCAAGTTGCTCAGGAACCTGAGGTAGGAGGACCACACATTCACGGCTATCCTAGGCAACTTAGTGGGAACCTGTCTCAAAATCTATAGTTTTCAGATATTTAAGATATTTTAATATTTATGGAGACATTTAAATAGTTAAACTGGGCATGGTAGGGCATGCTTGTAATCCCAGCACTTGGGAGGCCAAGGCAGAAAGATTACTATAAATTGGAGACCAGCTTAGGCTATGTAGCAAGTTCAAGGCCAGCCTGGAGTAAGTATCGAGACCCTGTCAGGGGTATGACAGCCTAGGATCCAATCACAGTCTTGCACAACTGGTACACAAGAAAACTGAGTCCCCGCTTCCTTCTTGTTAATGATAATAGGCAGGCAGAAATAGGATTAGAAACACCAGTAGTACAGTCATCAACTGCTTAACCACAGAGAAGTTGTAAGAAATGCGTTGTTTCACAGTACCTTAGGCTAACACAGAGCAGACTTCTAAACCTTGAGTGCCACAACCATACTGGGTAACACAGAGCTAGGGAGCACCACTTACATATGCGTGTGGTAGCTGCGGCTGGATGAAACACTTACAGCAGCACTACATCTGGATTGTGATCCTCTTCCAAGTAGGAGGAAAATGGAATGGAATAGAATGAAAGTAACCTGGCCGCCCTGTGGCTGCTGAAGCAAGAACTCCTCAAAACAAAAACAGTGTGGTCAGCAACGAGGACTTTGCTATTTCACAAAAAAAGCTTTCTCTGAGGCTGTCTGGCCCCTCACAAGTGAGGAAAGAAAAGCCTTACCTAACAATGCAAAGCCAAGTCCTGGTTCCCATCATAGACCACCCTGGCTGGCTTGGGGTGCAGGGTGGCCGAGGCTGGAAGGGCCCAGGGCAGGACACTGTCCAGCTGTGTGAGCAAGGCGAGGGCTCCTGGAGGCTGGGCTCACATGTGTGCTAGGGACGGGGGAGGGAGCTGCGGCACTGAATCTGGAGATGGTCAGTGGGGAGAACCTGACGACCACTGCTCACTGTCCTTGTGGACCACCTCCCTGCCTCCTGACATGCCCAGCTTGGGAAAACTGGTCTCCTGGCATTGTGCCATGCACAGCACTGCAAGCACATGTTAAACCACTCCACCCAAACTCCTGTCCTAAAGAAGGCACTTTAATTCCACTGATCAGGGTTCAACAGGGCTTGCATTAGGAAAAGAAAATGGAACAGGGCCACAATGCAGAGCTGGCAGGTACTAGAATGGCGGGTTAAAACACAAAGCCAAAATACAACCACCACGGCTTTAAGCACTTGCTGAAGTGAGGCAGGCAAGAGGCTAAACCTGAGAAAGCACCAGCTCCCTCTTCTGCTTTTCCCTAGGTAAACGTATACAGTTAGGCAACCGTCACAGAAGGGCCTCTTCTCTCCACTGGGGGAGGAGTCCGGTGATAGCTCCTGCAGGCTTAGGGAAGGGGAGGGGAGAACACCAAACAGCAGGAGGTGTCCTCACATACCCACACCCAGCAGGCTGGCAGAGGCTCCGGAGTAAGGCCTCTGTCCAAGGCCTCTGCTCACAGGTAGCTCAGGAACACAGAGGTCTAGGTGCCTGGCTTGGTTCTGGAACAACTTCTACTGTTTGCCTTTATAGTTCTATTATTTAACAAAATTAAAGATCAAGGCTCATCTTTTACTTTGCTGGATTCCAACTTCATTACACTGAACTTGAATGAAACAAAGTGAACACAACTAGAAAAAAGCCTGGAAACCAGGTCAAATTCTCATTATTGACTTTATTACCTACTGACCTTGCAAGAATACAAAAATAGGCTAATCAGGGGTTCCTGGGTATATGTGCTCAATAAACTAAAATTCCCACATGTGTTATCACTATCCTAGATGGAAACAACCAAATAACTGGCAGACTTATTTCATAGCAATTGGCAGACTTTAATATCCAAGAAAAAGTAAGTCCATCTTACAAATTAAAAATATGGGAAATTTCATGCAGACATGAAGCTTCCAATTCAGCCTTCACGGCAGCTTTTAGAAGGAGAATTCGATAAACAGTACACTTCACAATCTCATATTGTGACTTTTACGGCTTCTCTATTTTTTATATATAAAGTATATATAAAATATATATAAAATATATATGACCTTACTCATTTGATTAACATACCCTAAATCTGCACCACTTTAGAAAATGAAACTTTTTAAAAATGCAAGCACAATCACCACTTAGTGAAAAGGAAAAAACATTTTTGTATAGAGCTAATTTAAGAAAAAAACAAGTTTATGTTTACACACCTTAGTAGCTAAGACTAAACTTAAGAAATACAAAAATAATTCCTCCAGTGACATTTCTATTGTTGATAACACATTTCTGAGTTAGAATATATTAACTGAAAAAGCTACAAGAAAAAGTGGTGCAAATTTGTAAAGAACACTTAAAAAACTACTAATAGAAGGTTAAAAACTGATTTTAGAGTTAACTAAAATATATGCTATAATTTAAATATCAGTTTCATCATTTGGTAATTTTACATAATAAAACCAATCTACCAGTGTCAGTCTGTTCTGTTTTTGCCTTTGTGAGAAAAACGAGACCATTTATTTTGATACAAGTTGTAAATAAGTAGACACTAGCCAATGAGTAAAAAGCATTTCTAAATTACTAAAACACAGCATGCATTCCTTGCTATTTAATGGACTTAAAAGTATATTTATGCTCCTTTACCTTTTAAAAAATAACTTTAGGGTTTCTTTGGGTTTTTTTATCCTCTTGTAACTTACTTGAATTTCCTCACATAAGTAATGAGTATTTCTGTCAAATAAGCGTCTGCCAAGCAAGAAACAGTTAAAACACAAAAATCAAGAGACTTCCCCAGCATGACACTGTAAGGAACTCTGTGGCAAAGACCACAAAAGCTCCTCACTGTCTGCCCAATCCACCCTGCCTGCAATCCTATAGCTAAATTCCCTGGTGGTAACTTCCACAACTTAATTCATAGCAAAAGTCCAAAGACTGACAGGTTTTCCTGTTAAACCATGATATTTACGCTGTCAATACATTAAATCTCTGTAATCTGAATCGCAAGAGGTCACTTAAAGCAATCACAATCTGTGAAAGTATAGAGTCTTTTCTTTTCTCCAAGAAAAGGTTAAAACATTAGTCATCTCTGCTTTCCAACCTACTGGAAACAGAATAACGAATACTGAACAAACAAACAACAACAAAAGAATAACTAAAGGAAATTCCAATAAAAATCTGCCAGAGGTAGAAATTTAAGCAGCATACATACTGTTTAAGCTTTATCTCTCAGGAAGCAATGGTTATTACTCTGAAATTAATGGTGGCTGCTACTGAAGATACAGACCATGGCACTAATTTATCCCTGAACTTAGTTAAAGTTTACCACGTTAATACTAGTATAAGTTTTTATTAGTACATTATTGTTTGAACTAAAAAAGAAAGTGCTTGATCGCATAATCCACACAATCAGAGACATTACTGTAAACATCACACTAACAAAATCTGTTCATTCTAGTTTGAAACCATGTATTTCAAATGGGCAGATTTTATCCCTGTATTTGCAGTTTCCTAGAACTTCTTTTTAAAAAGGTGCTGGCTCCTTATTTAGAATGCTAAGATCTCATACTTTAAAACGATCCATGGTGAATTTGTCTTCATAGTGTTCAATTTAGTGTGACCAAAAGATTTTTCAGTTGCCTGACTGTATTTTAACTGACCTGTGATACAATCAAATCTAGTATGTTATTAAAACTGAAATTTTGATGCCTCGCTAAATTCAGCTGAGCTAGAAGAAAATACAATCAACTAATCTGAATGATAAAGGAATATACAGTTTAGGTATAGATTTGGGTCCAAAATAAACAGAAGTCACCATTCCAGATGCTGTGACAGAAGGTCCTTACACTCTTCTAAAGTAACCTGTGCGTATACAATGAAAAAGGAAGTCATCGTGGGATTCAGTGCCCTCAGTCATCAATACGACAGGCTTGCAAGAGACACTTCATGAAGACACTGGAGTTTTATGGTTTTTCTACTGAAAAGACAATTCTGGGCTTCAGGAATCTGAAGAGGTTTCCTCCATTTTTACTGTGTAGTACAAATCTGCAATAGCATAGTGGATCTCTGAAAAAAGCAACAGACGTTATTAAGAAAATAGACGCTATTCTAGGCTTTGTTAGGAATAAGAAGGCACCACTGATGCGAGGTTGTGTCCTGTCATCACTGATAGTTGATTTTCAGTTTATTTCAGTATTTGATCTTATTAAACTTTTTCCAGGCGATATTACTTAAAATCATGTGGCTTACGGACCACGAACAAGACACATTCATAGTAGTATTTCATCATAGAGAGATCATTCACAGTATATGTTGATAATACAGATTCTTTTTCCACCTGCAATGCAAACAATAATGATACTGATGATGATGACACCCAACAGTGAACACTTATAAATGCTGGGCACTATCTAAGCATAGCCACTTATTCCTACGACCCATAAAACCAGTACTGCTAGTTCTACTTTACAAATAATAGGCTACAGAAGTTACTCAAGGTCATGTTACTAACATGTGGGATTCAAACTAGGGGGTCTAACTTAGAGCTTGGACTCTGTTGTGATACCCTGCTTCACTGTATTCTTACAAACAAATCTGTTGTTTACTTTCCTTTTTTTTTTTTGATACCAGACAATCAAACTCAATGACCTCATACTTGCTAAGCAAGTGCTTATGCTGCTAAGCTAAATCCCTGGCCCTGTTGTTTACTTTCTAAATGAATGAAATGCTTCTAAATAAATGAACTGAAACACGCGAGCCAACCTATCATAATGCTTTGTGTAACACCCATGATAAAAACCAAGCAATACGAAGCAGCAAACAGAACCACAGTCCCCAGGGTTCCTTTCCCCACCCGTCATGGCATGCTGCTTTCTCCAGAGCCAGGTCATTGAGTTTACCGAGCTGTCACAATGATTAGCAATCAGTACTGAAAGCCTTACCAGCAGGGATTAGTTTTTTCTTTACATACCCATAACCCCAAACTTTTTATAATTCTGAAAGGTGTGTTTATCCTCACTTTATAGATGAGAAACTAGGGAAGGAGTAAAACTGGTAATAAGTATAATACCTAATCTCCCACTTAAGGGCTTTAGAAGTTGAACTTTGACAGTATTTCATTCCGTCCTTACCTCTACCTGGAATCCGTACTGCAGAACCACGTTTTTTATATCCTCATAGCTCAATTCTATGGATAACTCATTTGCCAAGTTCTCAAAGTGGTACAACAGAGGACCTATAGTTTAAAGATAATTATGAGTGAATCACCTGCACGTAAGCATGCACTAATAGCTATGTGAGATAGAATTTAAAGTTAAGTGCTAGGGAGTTAGCTCAGTGGTGTAAGCACCTCCCTGGCAAGCACAAGGTTGTGAGTTCAATCTCAAGTACCAAAAAATAAAATAAAGTTAAACAGATTGAGCAGTAAAGGGAATTGCAAAAAGCACTATCATATGAGCCATTCTTGGACTGCTGCGGGGAGAGCCAGATGCCAGCCCCTTCTGCTGCGGGCAGAGTCAGATGCCAGCCCCTTCTGGTGGGCAGGCTGAAGAAAAGAAAAGCTAAACTCCCCTCACTCCCACCCCACGCCTGTAAGCGACTGGCTGATCCAGACAAACACAGGCTGTGATGATAGCTATGAGGTTAAAATGTACTTTAATGCCTGTAGTGTTTAGTGTTTCACTGACTTTGCAGGTCTAAAGCCGGTAGTCTGATCATCTATTCAGAGGGTAGCATCTATGGGGAATCTCGTTCTGAAGGTGGTGGCCATTATCACTTCCCTATCATCTTGTTTTGAAGTCCCGTTTCATTTTCATTATTTTGTCAGATTTTACTGTTTTCTCTTATTTGATTTTATTATATCCTATGGCATGGGTGGCCAATTATGGTAGCCACTTTGGATTTGCTCTTGGCTTGTTTTGAAGTCCTCTATTGTATTCACTATTTATTTATTTATTTATTGGTACCAGGGATCAAACTCATGTCCTCATGCTTGCCAGGCAGGTGCTTATGCTGCTGAGCTAAATCCCTGGCCCCACTGTTTTGTTTTTATTGGTTCTACTCTGTTCTGTTTTGTTTGATTTTTCCAATGTCTGAAAGTATGGGCAGTTATACTGAAGACAACAAGCATCATGGTAATCATTGTGATTTCCTATTATTTTGCTTTGAAGTCCTGTGCCACTTATACTGTTTTGTTTTGATTGGTTTTCTTTAAAATTAAAAAAAAAAAAAAACAAAAAAAAACAACTCACATGGCTCTGAAGACAATTATCCAACACCAGAAACTCTGGCCAGGAACCAGCCCTGAGCGGAGGGGCTGCTCTCATGGGGACCGAGTCCCTCCGTGTGCACCTGCCCTGCAAGGTGATCACCACATAGCGGGCCTTCAGGTGCTTAAGTAGCAGCTGAATCAGAGAATGTTTTGTGCCTAAATTCCAAAGGCACATGGTGAGTACACAGTGGTACCTCGGTTCACAAACTTAATTCTTCCACAATTCTGGTCACAAACCAGAAAAGTTAACCACTGAATTTGATTTAGTTCTTATCCAATTCGGTTTGTCTCTTTACCTTTCACTGGGTTAACTGTAAATTACACATCCAGCTCTCTGGATAGCCCACTCCTCACACAATATGCTAACCATGAGAGATTAAGGCCAGCAATTTGTGTGTGTGTTGATTTGTACTTGTAATCCCAGCTATTTAGGAAGCTGAGGCAGGAGAATCTTAAATTTGAAGCCAGCCTGGGCAACTTGGTGAGATCCTAACTCAAAAAATGCTCAATGGTAGCGCTTAACAAGAACCAGGCCCTAGATTTGATCTCCAGTTCCACCAAAACGATAACAGAAAACTTCACTGCAAACGGGATGAAGTTTCTGCTCCCTAAGAGGCTTACCAGCCTGTGCTCATGTTGAAGGTAAGTTTTCTTTGCCTTTCCCTTTTGTAATCCTACAAAAACTACTAGGGAAAATGCCTATAGCAAGCCTACATTCCCATTAGTTGTATTTAAGCATTAGAAAAACTGAACAGAGCTATTTACTGAGCATCTGTGTTGTCCTACATTATAGCAAAGTCTTTTTATAAGAATGTAGAGACTCACAGCTAAGTCTCTCCAGCTTTCAAGCCTGTGCTGGCCCTCCTGTATTATTTAGAGCCCTGATGCAAATCTATATCAATGACTCTGACACACACAGGTCCCATTTTCTCTCCACTGAGTTTTGTTCCATGTAGAAAGCTCCATCCTCCAACTTGATTTAGCCATGGTGTAACCCTTGCTGAAATCTGTCCATGTCTCCAGTCTCTAATTCATTTAATGCTATGCTGTACTGCTCACTGATTATTTTTATGCAATCAGCAGCTTTTCTAACTAGGTTACAAGTTGTGTGTCAAGGAACATGTAGTTTCTTTTGACTCTACCAAAATGTATTGCATTTACAATTTTACCATTCATAGAAACAGTTGTATTTATTTTTCAGTTTTTATTACAAATGGCACTTAAAACAACTAACTCCACATATTTTAGATTTTCCTTTACAAAGATTTTATTTATTATCTATTTAAAACTGGGGCCAGAATACTTGGAACCTCTGCACTGAACTATATGTTCAGCCCTGATCGTATTGTTTGTTTTTTGAGACAAGATCTTGATAAATTGTTAAGCTACCCAGGCTGGGCTCAACCTGACTGCAATCTGAAAACATAATCTCAGGTGAAATAAATCAGATATATAAGTTTAAATATTGTATGGTTTCTCTCATATGAGAAATCCAAAGTACAAAGAGCAAAATTAAAGATAAAAGGAAAGCAAGAAGAGAGTTCTTTGTAGGGAGAAGCCAAGTAGATGATGGAGCAGAGAAGGCATGGATACCATTTTTTCAAGGGGCACAAACTTTAAAGTATCTGTGGTATATTTAACTAGGGTAAAGTATAGCAAAAGAGACCCTTGGATCAGAGCTGGGTATGAGAAAAGTAGGGAAAGCCAAGAGACTGGGTAGAAGGAACCTATACAAAGAATGAGTACAGGAAACAAAAGGGAAATACACCAGTTACATGTCTAGAACATAACAATACTTAAAGGAAAACTGATTGAGATTTATAAATGTTTTAACTTATGTGAGCAAAGTACTTTATTTGTAAAGTATTAAAATGCCCATCAACTGAGAAATGGACAAAAAAAGATGTGATCTTTCTATGTAATGGAGAACTACTCAGCTATGAAGAAGGATAAAGTGAAGATTTTTATTGGGATGCAATTCAAGACCACACTCCTAAGGGATATAAATTAGATTCACATGTGTAAACATCATGTCTTCCTGGTGAGAAACTGAAAGAATAAATAAACCCAAAATGAATAATAGATATTGTGAAATGGGAAGAAATGGTTCAAATGGAAAAAGGAACTAGAACAGGGGAAAGGAAAGGAAAGAAAAGGAAAAATACAAGACAGTTATTCTATTAGTTTCTCTTAGTTCACTGAGAAGAAAGGTTTGCGCTAATATTGTCTAAAGTTTTTTATACCTGTATCTTATACTCTGAGTAATACTTTAAAGATAACAATACTCAATGTAATAACTATTGTTATTCTTTTATTTTGCTATGAAATTTTAACTTTTTTCATAATAACTGCTAGGCATTTATTTCTGCACATATTTCATGTACTTAAGAGTCTGAGACTGAAAAATGTATCCAATTATGTACACTTAAAATGGTAATAATGGCAAAGTTATTTGCTACTGTTACTCTACTAGAAATATTTCTTTTTATTTTAAAGAGGGTAAGATTAAACAGAACAAAACAGATCATAAGGAAGCAATTTTAAGAAACACAGATTTCAAAGCAAGTCCACTGGAGATCTTCACTGTCTATCTTATTGCCTCTACTTTTTTTTCCAAGTAGTTGCCCCCATTTCACACACATTGAATACATGCTGAACAATATGGAACTACTCTAATCATAACAGGATGATGAAGGCTTTTTAGGTCTTCAGGACCTGACATTGGAGAATAATGACTGCCATAATGTCTCTCATTCTATTCGTAGTAGATGTCCTTATCTTTACGAATGCTGAAATTGAACATAAGAGACTAGACTAATATCACTCTGGACAGTGAATAATAGTATTGCTAGATTTTATATCATAATGCTACAGAATTAGCACTGGGTTTCTTAATGTCTCTTCTTCAAAGTATCTGTTCATTATATCATGCATTATATAATCTGTTCCCATAAACTGTTTAGAAATTCTTCCCATGTGTGAATCTCTACATATATATCTATCCTTTCAGTATTATAGGGGAAAAACAGATCAAAACAAGACAACAAATTCCTAAAAAAACATGAAATGAAAAAGACACATAAAACCAAAATATTAGGTGATCTACAGTAGTTACTATGCTTTCTCTTATTTTCAAAAGAACTGTCCACATCATCACACATAATATAACTGAACATAGCATTACATAGCTATTTTAATAAAAAAAGAACTTTGGAGACATTGTAGGACTTCAAAAGCAGTTAATAATCAAACTGGAATGGGTATCTTATTGCATCTTGTCATCTTCAGAGTAGTTGTCTCTGATCTTAGACTTGATACTATCAAGCATACCAAATTTGAATAAAATCAGTCAAGGCAAAACTGCAATCTAACAAACCAGCTTCAAGTAAGATCAGTCATAGTAAGACAATGTAATTAATATAGGGCTTTAGTTTAAGTTAATAGGAAATTAAGGATAGTTACTATAGTATAGCCTGCTATTTTGGGGATAGCTGTCTGTACCCTCAAATCTAGTATGAGTAGACAAACCGCAACAAAATATAATCAAACTAAACAGAGCGATAAGACTACTGTGACTTTTAAATCCTGATACACTATTAACAATGTCCTCTGCTTTCCTTTTTTTAGGCAATTCCTCACCTTTACCTTTCTCAAGATGCTCTGTATATTTTGGGTCCCACTAGCTCCTGTACTTTTTAAGATTAGGGGGTCACCAGTTATCTGAGTGGTGCTGAAACTTTTTACTCCTGAGCTTGATCTTGAGCTGTACTCCTTTACTTACAAGGTTTTCCTTCCTTCTAGCTGTGTAGTTCTACACTGCACAAAAGTGTCATAACTTTCCAACCTATCTGCAGCTGCTGGACGAGTTGGCCCTATTTCTCTCTGGTTCTCTATCACATAGAGCATCATTTTCTCATCTTTGACTTTCAGTTTATTAACCCTCTTTCAGGTTGAGTATATTTCCTATTCAGAGTATTTTGATGGATCCTGCCTCCTAATCTAGTCTGCCTGTGTTTCTTTTTGTTAAGTGTATCAAGGCTACCTATATTAAAGATTATAGCCTACCTTCTCTGCCTCATTTCTGCTACTTTATTCTTCTGTCATTATTTGTCCACTTTTCTCCTTCATTCTAGTGTCTGCCCCGTTCACTGAGGCTTCTCTGCCACTGTTGCTGGAATCCTGGTATTTTTTTCTCTCTCTCTAGAATGTCCTTCAGTATTTTTTGTAGAGTTGGATTGGTGGCCATGAACTCCTCCTTGTCTTGGAAACATCTTATTTTTCCATTAATTTTGAGAGTGTTTCAGGGTACATCAGTCTGGGTTGGAAGTTATTTTCTTTCAGGCTTGGACTATTTCCCCACAGGCTCTTCTTGATTTGATAGTTTGTGTTGATAAGTCTGTTGTTATTTTGATGATTTTTCCTTTGTAGGTGATGTGCTTCTTTTCTCTGGCCGCTTTTAATGTTCTGTTTTTGTGTTGGATTTCTGGGATCTTGACTATTATATGTCTGGGTGTAGATCTGTTTTGGTTGTAGTTGGTTGGAGTTCTATATGCCTCATTTATCTGGATATCATTTCTTTTTCCTGCTTGGGAAGTTTTCCTTATTTCTGTGAATAGTCTTTGTAATTCATTTGTGGTTACCCACGTTTCTTTGCTCACATTTTTTATTCTTAAGTTATAGATCCTCTTGTCATCTTCTAGCCTTTGAATTGTGACTTCCTGGTTCCTTGTTATTTTTAATAGGTCTTTTCTTTCATGATCATACATTGTAAATTTCAAGTTTCGAAAAGCTAACTTTAGTTTCTGTCAAGGCATTTTGCCAGCTTTCAATGGAGTTTTTTTTTTTTTTTTTTTCCTCTGTGAACTGTTGTTATTTCAATGGAATTTTTAATTTCCTGGTAATCTCTTTGGATCTGTTTCATGTATTCTAGATTTTGTTTATATTCTTCACCAAAAGTTTCTCTTCTTTTTCTGGGTTCCTCCATTCTTCCATCTGTGTCTTCTTGAGAGAGGCTTAGCATGTCTTTAATTAATCTTTTTATATCTTGCCTCACGTGGATTAGAATTTCAGTTTTAAGTTTGTCTATAAAGTCACGAAGGTATTTCTTTATGTTCACTGATGCTGTGTCTAATATTACATGATTGCTGCACTGGTTCTCTTCTGTATTTACTTCTCCTGGACTTATTTTCCCAGGGTCAGTGGCTGGAAGTTTTTTCTTATTTCTATCTCTTGTCATGTTTCTGTTTTCTTTCAGACAGGTGTGTGGTGGAGATCTGACTCTCTTTGTATTGCTTATGGTTTTTCTGAAGCGTGCTGCTGGGGGCTTGCTGCTCTCTCCAGTTTGCTGTTATCTGAGGTGCACACAGAGACAATGAGGGCTGGCCCTTCTCCTCTGAGCCAGTCAACTGGTGAGTGACTTCAGCAACTTAGTCTGTGCTGTGGCGGACGTCACAGGGCCGGGACAGTTTCGTCCCTGGTATTGGGTCCTGACCAGGGATGTGACTCAGCCCAGGCTGATCCCACCAGTCCTCTCTAGGCCAGGGTGGCTGACTGGTGCCACCGCAGCACCCGGCTCTGCCCACTCCAAAATGTCTCCCAGCCGGCCACACTCACTGTGGGAACCAGATTTCCAGCACTCACTGACAATTAATGCAGCTCTCCACCTTGGCTCCATTCCGCACTGCGCCACGTCCTCCCGCCTAGGGCCTGGGACTCACAACTCCCGTCCTCCCTTCAGCACCACCTTGGATCGCCTGACTGCACAGCGCGGAGCGGTCTCAGTGAGCACATCTGGCTCCAGCCCTCCACCTGCGTTTTTCCTTCGTCTTCCCCTTTTTCTTTTTCCTTCAGTTCCCTCCTGGCATCATAAGTATCCCTCTCCACTCGTCCGGCCCTCTCCATGTTGTCAAATTCCAGCGTCTGGGCTGTTTTTCCCAGAGAGGCTCTCCAGCCAGTGACCTAGCAAGCCGCCATCTTCTTCACTCTCTCCGAAATTTTTACTTTTGTAATAGAAAAACACAAGTGTTCAAAAGCAAAGCTGTTTCTGTGAAAGTTGAGCACTACAGAAACACAATACTTTCCCACAACTCCACAGCAGCACTGTGACCACGGAAATCCATGATCATTGGTACGCTAAGCCATGAAATGATGACACTATCAGATCACAAGTCTGTCTCTGCCACATATGAACTACAGGACCTTCCTGCTGGGTATGTGGCCCAACACTCAGGTTCTTCAATGTCTTAGCAGTGCCTTTTCACTGAGATTAAAGAAAAGTTTCTAAGGGGCTAACACAACACCTCCCCACAGGCAGCAAATACCCAGTAGGGGATATCTTCTAGTCTTTCCTTTAAGGTTACTTAAGTTAATGATTGCTAAGATTTGAAATTTCTTATTATGTTACAGCTACTCTCATTTGGTGCAAAGGAATCTACTGAGAAATTTTAACAACAGAATCTCCAGTGAAGACATATAGAGAGCAGATGTTGGTCATGGTGACATGTGCCCTGTAATCCCAGCAACCAGGGAGGGCCACAAGTTTGAGGCTAGCCTGAGTAGATTAGCAAGACCACCTCAAAATAAAAAATAAGAAGGCTGGGGCTGTAGCTCAACAGTAGAGTGCCCTGGGATTTAGTTAACAGTCCTGACAAAGAAGGGGAAGCAGAGAGAGGGAGAAAAGTGGAGGCGGGGGACAGAAGGTGACAGAACCTCAGAAATAAAGCTAAACCATCCCTGAATGTCAGGACTCAGTACCACGTGGGCACATCCTTGAATACAGGATGGCAAGCTCTACATTCAAGCCTTGGTGTCCTTCTCAATATATTATTTGAATAATACATATTTCTGAATATATATATTATACATAAATAGAAGTAAATTTATACATAAATTATCTCACTGAAAAAAAGACATGTATACTGACCTTCATCATTATTTTATATTCCTTTAATTTTAAAAAGGAACAAACACAATTTCCTTATACTCTGGACCAGAGAAGTCCTGGCACTTGCACTGCCATCTCTAGCTGCAGGCAGTACAACCGCACTGCACTTTCTGTCCTAATGAAATGATAGTTCTCACTCTTCAACTTGAGGTCATCAGGAGTCATCACACCTCCTCTTTCCCCAGCAGATGGGTATATTAGGGAGGAGAGTGAAGAGAGTAAGATTGTTCCCCCAAATTCATTAAGAAAAATAGAAAGCAGTGGCTGGCCTCCTCCGTGAAGCAGGGAACAAGAGCGATGGAACAATTACCTCGCCACCAGACATAAGGACCTGTGCACACGAGACTATGGCGACTGTGGGTGGACCTGAGCACAGACAGATGACGTCTGGGCTCCTCACACTAATCTATGGTCTAAGGGAAACCAGAGGCTCTAAAACACACAGTGTAACTGTAACTTTCATGAATACGGTGGAACTGGAGGTAAAGCAGATAAAAGTACTCAAATTAATGTGTAAAACTTTAATAAACATGGAAACACTTACCAAGATTTATCCAAATCCCACCTGGCTTGAGTATTTTCCATATTGTGTCAATATAATCAATCACGTTGTGAGCTGTGTCTATGAAGAAACAGGTGGCAATACAGTCCCAAGTATCTAATAAAAAAAAAAAATCACTGCATCTGTTATTTTGCTTTTTTTCTTTAATTTTTTTAAACTTGACAGTTACTGCTTATAGAGCATTAATATTTTATTTAATTGTAAGGATATGGAAGCTATGCTCATGGGATCAACGTTATAATTAAAAGTAACCAAATAATCATTTATGGGCAATATTCTAGTTCATAAAGGTTTTACCAATCCTATAGGGAATCTGAAATGATTTGTAACAGCATGTATCCGTACGTATCATTACCAAATGATATCTCTAGGTTTTATTATCTATTAAAATTCTAGCCTTTATGCTTTTATTTATTTACTCATCATTCCTTTTTGTGGTGCTAGGGCCTTGTACATATGCTAGGCAAATGCTCAATCACTGAGGGTACATCACTTTGCCCCTGGCTTTCATTTAAACTGTTAACAAAATACTTCAAAATTCTGATTTAAACCAGTGCTAGTCATCAATTCTGGCAGGCTCTTGAAAGACTGCCAGACTGCTGACATTCTGAGAAATAAGTGACATCCAAACACCTAAATACTGGGGAATGGGGTAAGTAAATGCCCAGGGAAAGAGGGGCGGGCAGTCAGGTGCAGTGGCAGCTCCCTTCCACAGGCCATGGCCCGGTACAGGGACGGGCAGCAGGCCAGAGATGCATATTGGTCCAGAGCTGGCATGACACAGGCAGCCCATCCTCCCAAAGGTTACCTCGCCATCCTTGCTCCAGAAGCAACTTACTTTCCATTATTTCACTCCTATTTTGAGACCTTCCTCCTTCCTCTTTACCAACAAGTAACATCTTCTCTCTCATCCTTTCTAATCTCAGACAAGGCTGCTTCAATCTCAGGGTCCAGGGTAAAATAAACAAAACCTTTCGATGTTGTAAAGGACAGATGAACAGGAGCTTTCTTTGTTGTGCTCCCGGCTGTGAGGCCTCTCTCCAGGGCCTCACAGCACTCTCGGAGCACAGGGTGGCATCCTTGCCAAGGCCTCCAAGTCTGCTCACCGAGCTCTCCTCACCTCCTGAGAAGCACAAGCACTCCGGACCACTGCCCCTGCCTGCGGCCCAGCATCTGCACACCCTGGTTTTCACTCTTGGGGTTCTCTGCTGGACTTGTAAGGCTTCTGTTCTTAAAAAGGCCTTCCCAGATAACTGTATATAGAACATCAGCCCCTCCCCACACCCCTGTAACCCCTGTGCCCTATTTGTTTTTCCCACCTTAAGCGTAAGCCCCCTGTGCAGACTCACTTGATGTGTTCTTTGCACTGCCTGGCACATACCTGATACCTTGGAGGTATCAATAAACACTTTGCGTGATTCTGCTAATTACTCAGCATTCTGTGCTTCTCGTTCTTTTTACTGCCAATACTTCTTCCCTCTCCCCACTTCCACCTTCTCTAATGTCTACATAAAATGTTTTCAACATTTTCCCAAGCTGAAGACTCAACCTATACAATCTGATTATAATGTTCTTCCACAATCTAGACCTGACCTACTTTGCTAGTCCTATCTCCCACTAAACATCTGTTTTCCTGCCTGTATGGCTGTGCTGCTGTGTGATTACCATACTTACTTGTATCTTTGGGCCTCAGCCTGCCTCAAATGCTACTGCCCCTATTCTTCAGGTCACAGCCCCTCTATAAAGAGCCCTCTTCTCACACTGGCTTACTGTTATCTTCACTGCATTCATTCCACATGTGAACTCTGTCTGCAATATTGACCTAATAAATTCTGAGTCCTTGATTACACATGGAGTTCTTTATATTTCCTATACTGCCTTAGACCTAAGATTAAAACATTCTAATTTATCACAGAAGTATATACATTATATTCTACCATCAAAATGAACGTCCAAAATATTAACTCGTTAGGTATAGAACAAAAGACTTTTAAAATGCCTGCTTTGAACTTACTGCATTCTGAATAAATCTCCTGAAAATCTCCTGCTGTCATAGAAAAGTTAGAACCAGAAGGAAGACTGTGGGGGTCAACATCAGGGAAAGAGATGGGTCGAATCTGATCAGCTGATTTCCGGTTATTGCTGAACTGATGGATCCAGGGATAAAGTTTGTATTTATTAATTTCAGAACATCTGAAAAATAGGAGTGTAAGGTTCAGTGTTAACTAAACATTTCACCAAGAATATCTAAACCCTAAACTACAATCTGAATATCTGCAGCTATAATTCATATAATCTGAGTATCAGTGGCAACACTGCTCCCTGCTCAGGTACCTGAAAACGTACACACGTGGACACAAGCAAGCACCCATGCATTACAATAGACGTGTGCTGCTCATTCAAACTAATCAGAACACATCTGTGAACTGGAAACCCAAGTCAAAATGGTGCAACTACTTGTTTTTAAAAATTGTACATGGGCTTCAACTCAAACAGTCTACTATACATTTTAATTATCTTATATAATCCTTTTTTCCTATCACTAACCCCCTAAAAGTCAAAGACAACAGACTCACTTTTAAACAAGGCAGCAGTTTTCGTCTAACACACATTCTGACCTTAAAAATGACTTAGCTTTTTCTGCTACCTAGCAATAGAGGCCACAGAAGTTATTAGATTTTTCCATCTCGCTCATGGCCATTCTGAAAGAACTCGCTTAAGAAAAACAGTGCTGGCTGACTGCTGCACTGAACACGTAAGAAACAAGCGAGTGAAGAAGTCTAGGGACGATGAGAAAATATCCCTTCCTGGATCACACTCGTTTGCAAGATTATATACAGGAGTGATTTCTGTTCTATGGAATGCTCTGCCTCTCTCTAAAAACCATTTACTCATCTCAGCAATCTATTAGCTAGGCAAATGTATAAACATATCGAATTTAACGTCAATACTTATGATCTAACACCATAATCACACACTATGCACTATAAATTCAGAATTGTTCAAAAAATATGTGATTCTGAGAAATTACTATTTCCAGGGGTGGAAAAAAAAAAAGAAATACCTGTTCAGTACAAAGTTGGAAGAAAAGAGCATAAAAAAACTCCATTCATTTCCTTGACAAGCATAACCTAGCATAGCTATTTCCCAGGCCAGTCTTCCTAGTCCAGCACCAGGTACCAGAATATTTACTTTAGAAGGATCCCTGAAATGAAATAAAGCAATTATGTCCAACCCCTCAAAGAAAAAAAAAAAAAAAAAAGAAAGAAAGAAAAAAAAAAAAACAAAGAAGAAAGGAAATCCATATTACAAACCAAAAAAATTATTCAATAAGAATAAGCTCACTAGGATATCTGACTTCTGAAGACTGAGAAATACTTTTAAATATTAATTTACATGCCATGAAGCATAAGGAATTATTGTATGTGTTCAGATATCTGGTGGGAATTTTATAACCCAAAAATTATTTTTCAGAAAAAAAGGAGTTACCTTATATCTGAAGACATATGAAGTGACTCATTCTGAGCAGCTGCTACCTGAACAACTGCCAGGATGCCAGACTATTCCAAAGTGATCCCAACTGCACATGAAGAGTTTAAACAAACATAATTTTACTTCTACACTCTGTATGTAATACGGTGTCTTATATAATAAAAGGCAGATGGACTATATTTACATTTCAATGCATGAGGCACACGTGTGTGACAGCAATATATGTACTTGGTTAAGAGAAATAGGAAAGGGGTATTTTTACTAGGAAAATGGAGACCCAGCATCTAATTCAGCACACACCATGGCAAACACACTGCATTCGGTCTGTTTTAATCTAAGTCATCACACGGCCATGGCGTATCTCCTCTGCTGTAAGAGCTGCCATTCACCTTCAAACTACAGAAAGCCTCTGCCTGCCAAATCTGAGATGGTAAGGCAGTATGATCCTGAGAAAAGTACACCAATTCTTATTGGAAACCGAAGGAAAATGTGTGTAGTTAGCTGGTACTGTACCACGTGAAACTACTATGTCTCCTAAATTTGGCTCACAAAGGCTATCTTTAAACTATATAGCCTTTAAGTCTGGCATGCTTGAAAAGTAGCCCAGCATTTTGCTAGTACCCAAAGAACAATCTGCATATCCCACAATGAAATGAAACAGAAAGTTTCAGTCCATAACTAAAAGTACAGTGAAGATCTGCCCACGGTTATTTAACATCTGTACATGAAACATGAACTTGAATGAAATCTTTAATGTAATGTGTGTCATTGTTGCACGACATGCAAAAAAACTAAGGAAGTCTGTTAAAAAAAGACTTCTTACAAAGGCACCTATTATGATTAGTAAGAGATCCAGTATTTGATATAGATAAACTCATGCCTAGGAGGTCCAGGAGAAGCTAATGTAAAATGTTTTCTTCTTGTTCCAGATTATAAACAGTGTGCATGTTCGTGTTTGCACTTTAAGTTTAATGAAGAAAATAGATCATCCTCTTGCTTTGTAGCTCAGAGGCAAAGAACTTGCATAGCAAGTGAGAGATCCTGGATTTGATCTCAAGTACACCAAGAAAAGAGAAAAAAGAAAAAAAAAAATCAAACTAATGCAACATGATAGGTGTGGTGGCACATTCCTGTAATCCCAACAGCTGGGAGGCTTAGCCAGGAGGGTCATTACTTGAGGGTTCAAGGGCAGCCAGGGCTACACAGTGAGTTCAAGGCCAGCCTAAACTACAGAGCGAGACCACCTCAAAAAACCCAAAAAACAAATCAAAGCAACAACAACCAAAGTAATACAACAAAAAGTAAAAGGGTATATAATTAAACTGATAGTCTTTATTTTTAAAATCATAGCCAATGTCATAATAGCTAAGAAAAAAAGTATACAGATTTTAAAAGTTGCCTTAATGTTAAGGGAAAGCTATACCAATGATATCAACAACTATTTTGGTAACTTGTGGAAAGTTAGTTTTATGACTGTAGTTACAAACTAATTACCAACTAATCAGAAATATAGAACTCTCCACCCCTATATATTAGCAGTACTCTGTATAAGATTACTCTTAAAAGGTTAGCCTCCTGAATACAGAATATGCCAAGGCTGAACCTTAAGAATTAGTCAACTATTACAGACCTGTAAGTTATGTGTATTACAATAAAAAGGATTTCAAAAGCACATAAGAGACACATTAAAACATCCTCTAGAACTGAAAAAACAAGCAATCAGAAACAGGCTTCTCTTAATGAGAAACCCAAAGTGCAAATGATTTAAGGAGAAAACTAAAGGATGACAGGCAACAGGGAGGTGACTGTGGAGACGGGAAGGGGTATGGGGACAGGGAGATGGCAGAGCGGGGAAGCAGAAAGGATAATGGCATGACATGTGTATGTATCAATATACAACAATGCACAGCCAGGCTGGTGGTGCACTGCTGTAGTCCCAGCATTCAGAGGCTGAAGCAGGAGGACTGCCAGGAGTTTGAGGCCAGCCTATGCTGCATGGTGAGTTCAAGGCCAGTGTGAACTGCCTAGCGAGATGCTGTCTCAAAACAAAACAACATGATGGGGGGAAGGGGACACACACCGAAGAAACAATGTAGATATTATGTATTACACACATATACTAATAAAATTTTAAAGAGAACCACTGACTCTCTAGGGGAGGGGGTAAGGAAAGGACAGATGACAGGGGAGATGACCAATGTAGGCTACATGCATGTACAAATCTGTCAAAATGAAAACCACTTATCTGTACAAGCCATATACTCTAATAAATGAAAAAACCAACCAAGGAGGGAAGAGGTGAGACAGAGAAAAAGATTCCCTTACAGCTTTTCAGTATCACTCCCCAATTTCCCAGTACTGTGGATTAAACCCAGGGATCTGCAAACGCCAGGCAAAGCCTGTACCACTGATCCATCCCTGAGTCTCTGAAACAAAGTTTTGAGATGGGGTCCTACTCAGCTGCCCAGGCTAGTCTGGAACTTCTGACCCTGCTGCCTCAGCACTGAGTAGCTACAAATAAAGACCTGTGTCACCAAGCTGGGCCTTCAACATTCTTTATATAAGGGTTACAACATAGACAAACAAATGGAAGGCTCCTCTAATTATATTCTGTATGAAACTAAGGCACTCTGGCAGCTTCTGCTATGCATCTTTAAGAAGTCAAGGGCATTTCTTAATATGGAGAAGAGAAATGAGTTTAAACCTTGACCATGAGATTATTTTAAATGAAATGAAACTTTATAACCCAAGAATAGAGACACATTCAGTACGTGCTCAGTGATCAAAGGTTTCTGGCTAAAGGTTCTTAGTAAAAAGAAGCTAGAGCGTAGATTTCCAAATTTCCATAGCTGCAGCAGTGGAATAGCCTATTTACTACAAATGCACCGACCCTCTCGGGAGGGGAAGGGTGCACCACTCAAGGGAAGAACAGAGGAAAGTCAAGTCCAGAGGGGCAGAAGGCACCGCAGATCATCTTCATGTGACACTTTTGGTGACACTATTTTACCAGAAACGACCGTTGTTTGTTTCCAGCTGTTCTTTTCTGTCAGCACACGTCTGCATTGCTGACTGTGCAATGAGCTCGACTTCACTGCACAGATTGATCCCTGTACAGCAGCAGGCTAAGAGCATTCCAATGTGGGACACTTGACAGACCTCTGGTGGTAGGAACACTTACAGCTTTTAAGTATCAAAAAGAGGTTCTCTGAATCACAGCTGCCTTGAGTCCAATAGCCATGAACCACATGGCTATTAAAACATTTAAAGAATATAAATTGCATTGCAAGTGTAAGACAAGATCGTATTTCACCTGTTTTCTCTTGCCTATTTATGTGGCCACTAGAAAATTTAAAATTACAGGTGCGCCCTGTGTTTGTGGACCGCACGATGTTTCTACTGAACAGTGCTGACCCACATGTCACACACACTCACAGGGGGTTCGGCTGGGACGCAGCTCTGTGCCACAGGCACCCAGGCCTGAGGCATCGGGTTTAACCCCCAGGATAAAAACAAAATTACATTGAGAAAAAGGAACCTGTGAAATGGTATTAGAAACCACTAAATAAAAGCATACACAAGAGGGTAAATGAGAACACTGCAGGAGTACGCGGTCTGCTTTGGCGTAACAGACATTTAGCTAATGCAGCAACACAAGACCACAGTATCAGAGCAGGTGTATGTCCAGTGTCTTACAGGCAAGTCAACATCAGCTTCACCCATCATCAGCTTCTAATGAAGACTTAATCTCAAGAAAATACAGTACAGTATCAAGGGTTAATATTAAGTCAGGCACTTGATTTTTAAATTACTCATCATTGAAAATGGGCTGGAAACCAGCAGTGTTCAGTGCCTTCAAAATTATGGTCCCAAATTATCTCTTCACCCACTCCCAATATAGATGCCCTCCCTTCAGCCAGACAACTTCTCACCGATAGCCGAAGAGACTTCTGAGTTTCTACAAGCCCACAGAAACTCAGTTATACGAGCTCATCAAATTATTCAGTTATCTTTCCCAAGCATACCAGACAAAACTTCATTATGCTTCAATACTTTACCCACACACCTGTTATAGCTTATATCAAGTTCTTTCCTTTGTTTCTTTCATTTAATTCCAAGTTATCACTATGAATTGCAGGTGAGGCGGTTGCTCTGTAAATAAAGTTTTACTGGAACACAGCCTGCTTGCCAGTGACTTAGGGGGTGCCCTCGGCTGCACTGCCACAGAGCAGAGCTCTCAGTGGCCACAAAGACCACAACTGCTTTCAGATACTAAAATGCGTTAACCACTCGGCACGTTGGCAGAAAGTCTGCCAAGCCCTGATCTAAATTCATTTTGACCCCTTTCCCTGACAGCACATATGACTTCTTTTATTTCACTGCTGGTGATGGCACTGTAATTTATCAGCATCTCAATTAAAGACATTCATATTATTGCTAATCTTCTGTTCAGCGTTACCGCTGTTGGCCTGAATAATTTCCACGGAAAAGTGTATCTGCAGAATGCTTCCCAGAACCTGAACCACAAGAATTAAGTCACACACTGACACTGTAACAAAGATACGCAAACTGCTCATCATAAGTTTTTCTCAATTTATTCTTTTACCAGCAACCTGCTTTCCATACCTTCACCAACATCTTCCACAGCCTGTTAGCTTTTCTTAGATTTCTTTTCCATGAACTATTCACTTATATAATTTTTTCTCTGGGTTATGA